CGAGGACCATGGTGAAACCCCGTCTCTACTAAAAATAGAAAAAAAAATTAGCCGGGCGCAGTGGCGCGCCTGTAGTCCAGCTACTCGGGAGGCTGAGGCCCGAGAATGGCGTGAACCCGGGAGGCGGAGCTTGCAGTGAGCCGAGATTGCGCCACTGCACTCAGCCTGGGCGACAGAGCGAGACTCCGTCTCAAAAAAAAAAAAAAAAAATAATAATAATAAAATAATAATAAAATAAAAACAGAATGTCAAAGCTGGAAAAATACCTTCAACCCCCTCATTTTACAGGGTAAACACCAACAAAAATTTATACATTTGAACTAACCCTATCTGTAAACAGAATCCAACAGGATTGAATTATCCACAGCCAAAATGAAAGTTCAAAATTTACCAAAAACGGCGTATAATTGCAGTAGTTCTGACCTCTAACCTGAATCAAAGCACCAACTCTCCCAAATTACCAAGCAGCACTCCCAGCGAAGCTCAGCAGTTTCAGTGTTGTGGTTTGTCCTTTGACGTACAGAATACACAGATTCCCTTTGGTTTGGGCCTCTCTCTCTACGGAAACACCTAAGGCACGAGTGAGGCTCATGAAAACACAATCAACACAGATTAACTTTGGCAATGTTTCAATTTTTGTTTTTGTTTGTTTGTTGTTGTTTTAAAAAAAGACAAAGGGCTTTTACAGTGACCCACAATATCTATCTGTTTTTACGTGTTACAATTAAATGATTTTTTTTTTTTTTTAGAGGAGTCTCCTCTGTCGCCAGGGTTGGAGTTGCAGTGCCGGATGCTCAGCTCACTTGCAAGCTTCTGCCTCCCGGGTTTACCGCCATGTCTCCTGCCTCAGCCTCCGATTAGCTGGGACTACAGGCGCCCGCCACCTCGCGCCGGCTAGTTTTTTTGTGATTTTTTTTAGTTAGAGACGGGGTTTCATTGTGTTATCCAGGGATGGTCTCGAATCTCCTGACCTCGTGATCCGCCCGCCTCGCCTTCCCCAAAGTGTTGGGATTTACATGTCTTGAAGCCACCGCTCTCCGCCTTTTTTTTTTTTTTTTTAAGACAGAGTCTTGTTCTGGTCTTCCCAGGCTGGATGTGCAGGGCGTGATCTCGGTTTCACTGCAACCCTTCCACCTCCTGGGCTCATTGCCCAGGCTGGAGTGCAGTGGCGTAATCTCGGTTCACTGTTTTTTTTACCTCCTGGGCTCAAGCGATCCTCGTGTCTCAGCCTTCCAAGTAGCGTGCACCACCACTCCCGGCTAATCTTTGTATTTTTAGTAGAGACGGGGGTTTCACCATGCTGGCCAGGCTGGTCTCGAACTCCTGACCTCAAGTGATCTGCCCGCCTCGGCCTCCGAAAGGTTTGGGATTACAGGCTTGAGCCACCGTGCCCGACTGTTTTTTAAAAATTAGTAAATGTTCATTTTTTTTCAACCATCCCCAGGTTAGGTCTTTCATCAGAGTTTCTGAGGTTTAGGACAGTTTTTTTTCACTGTGAAATATGAGCCTAAAAAAAAGTTCCGTAATAACCTTTAGCGGTCTTTTTTTTCATAATGATGGCAATCGATACTGAAATCCAGGCAGTACAGAATTTTATTTTTTTTTTTTTCTGGAACTCAGGACCGAGAACATTTTGCTGCTGTATTAAAGCCCAGGAAATTTTTTTTGGAGGATTTCATGTAATAATCTACCGACGCGGCCGGGCGCGGTGGTTCAAGTTTTTTTTCCTAGCACTTTGGGAGGCCGAGACGGGCGGATCACGAGGTCACGAGATCAAGACCATCCTGGCTAACACGGTGAAACCCCGTCTCTACTAAAAAATACAAAAAAACTAGCTTTTTTTTGTGGCGGGCGCCTATAGTCCCAGCTACTCGGGAGGCTGAGGCAGGAGAATGGCGTGAACCCGGGAGGCGGAGCTTGCAGTGAGCCGAGATCTGGCCACTGCACTCCAGCCTGGGCGACAGAGCGAGACTCTGTCTCAAAAAAATAATAATAAAAAATAATCTACCGACGCTTCTTACTCCTCAGAACTTTCTCGTTTTGGAACCACAGCCCATCAGTGGGCGGGGCCTTTTTTTTTGGAAAACTCGGCGGTGGGAGGAGTACCCTCCCGGAGATCTTCCGGAAGGGGCGTGGTATGACTTCCGTAATCTTTCGGGCAGAGGCGGAGTCTTCTTCCGAGGACCATTCGGAAGAAGGCGGAGCCTACCTCGCATCAGGACCAGTCTGACTGCACCTGCATCCTTAGCTCAGCGCATCCCCGGAGCATCGTTAAGAGCCGAGCGCAGCTGACAACTAGGGGCCGGACCGTCGCAGGAGGCGTCCGCTGGATACCTTCCCCCTTCCCTGACCTAGAGCTCTACAGCTTTTTTTTTGGTACTGACCGAGGGTTCCCAGAGTTGTCTCACCATTGCAAAAACGTTATATTTTTTTTCTCTGATTACGACATGGCTGAGATCACCAATATCCGACCTAGCTTTGGTAATTTTTTTTGGGAAAACTAAGCTTGAGGTGGTCAGAATGGGTGCAAGGCCAAGGGGGCCCTTTTTTTTGGCAAAGAATGCAGCCCAGACCAGAGCCTTCAAAGTGCCAGCCTCGCTAAATTTTTTTTTGTGGTGGTGGGTAGTGGGCAGTTGACA